AAGACTATCTTTGAGAGCTCTTGTCCCCGTAAAAGGAAAAGAGAAAAACGTTGGAGCACTTCTAACAACGAACGTGGAGATGTTTTTATAAACTCAGGTTCCGTTGAATGCAATGTAGAAATGGAAAAAGCAGACGTTAGTTAATTAAACAACGTCGGGCGTAAATTTTATTAGTATTAAGGTGGGGAAAAGTCGTTTTGAAAGATGCAAGATGAGTCAGTTGGGAAGTTTGCTAGCGACGAACTGTAAATGGCAATTACTTAGTCCGCAAGTTGCCACGATGCGACTGGGAGCCGTTGCCGGCTGTTTGGACAATTTTTATTTTATCGTCGGCGCTAACATTTGTTTCTTTTATATTCTTCACTGTTTGTCGATGCCGAATTACATTTTTGTTTCATTTGTTTGCGCTCTTTTTGGTCGCCACTTGTGTTTATTGATCAGAGGCATTCCGTTGCTACAATTCACACTTCGGGTACTTTAAAGTTATAATATCTCGAGGATTATGCTAAAGTCATTATTATAATTCACGTCATTATATACGTTACGTTATTAGATAAAGGTAACAACATTGTTATGTAATGTAAAACAGCTTACGTGCAGCACTAGCCAAACAATATTATGAATTATGTTGTCAAGTGGAAATCCCTGTTATTTATGCGTAATATTCTAGGACCAACTATTTATTCAAGGCTTTAATAAATACATATTTTGCCAATTTACTAATGACCATTATTTGCAATTCTAAAACCGCCTGTTCCCAGCGGAAAACATTTGTGATTCTAACATGAAATTAGTCAGCAACATAATTGTGTATTTAATTAGTTAGCTGTGCCGTATTTGTGTTTATGTAGCATATAATACAGATAATTCTACAAGACCAGTATACACTAGCGATTGATGTCATCGGGTTATCATTGTTCAAATGGAATGACTGAGAGAAAAATATACTTGGAAGCCGACATCATAATGTTCACCATTATAATACTTATCTCTTGAATATTATATTTTGATACATACAACGATTGTATAGAATTGGTGATGAAATATTACCGCCTCATAAAATCCATGCCTTTACGGTGTAATTCTCTTGTATGTAAGGTACCTACGCGCATTTTTTTTAAACTATAAAATCATTTTTATGTAAATGTAAATCATTTTTATTGCGTTGTAAATAAATTGAACTTGATTCTAGTTTAATGTGACTACACACAGTTCTCACGCTTTCAAAAGGATTATTTTAATAAGTTCTGTTCTAATAGGTAGGTAGTATTTCTATAGGGTTGCCCTCAAGTCGATGTCAAAGCAATGTTCGCAATTGCAAATCATCTTCTCATTCCTTAATTAGCTTTGCTGATAAAATTCGTTGATTCAGGGAAATATGTTATCGGGTAAACGACATTATATCTGATAACTTGAATCACCAAATCAGACATTTTATGTTGAATTCATTCTCACAGCCCACAACGTCGTGACTCTGTCACAGTTCGTTTCTCTATAAAAGATACAAAATAATTAATATTCTATTGTAGCTGTCTCGTGTATTTATGGCCCCGATAAATAAATCGTGTCTTATTCTGCTTACGTATTAGAGAGGGGCAACTTCCCCGTCCCGGGCTGACGTAAACTAAACGACATCGATTCTCAACCGGAGATTGTTTTCCAAAGTGCCCGTTTTCGTATTGTTGTAACGAAAATCACATTTTTGGTGATACAAATTCATTAAGGGACTTCCTTCTCTTCAAACGGCATTGGATTTCGTATTTTAATTGGGTCTTGCGAACTAAAATTGTAGTAGACATAATAAATTGAGTAGCAACAGAAAACGAATGATGTTGTCACAAATAACACGTTCAATTTCCGGGTGACCTTAGCTTTATTTTGTAGGCAAATGGCGATTTCTCACGTTCGGTCCTAATCTCTTTATAATCAGAATGTAGCCTAATTATTTATACAAGTTTATATTATACCTAAATGAAGATAATCGACATGATATGCGATGCAAAATTAGTCAAGAAATAAAATATGCTCGTTGCATAATTTATTCTTAATTTGCATTTTTAATAATTCAATAGATAAAATAAAACGAGAACTATTTTCTATTTCGAGTTGTCAGCAAAATTCGCAACTAATATTGGAAAATTAAAATGTCTGAAAGCCGATAAAACAGCTTTGCGGCGTCATCGGAAATCTTGCTAAGATGGCGTTTCTTTTATGTGGAAGATCGTGCCTCGGCGCGACAGTAAAAAGTAGCTGACTTAACCGATCCGGTTTACTAGAGTCGGCAAAAAAATCGCATGTATAGATTGCCTGTTTGTAATTAATGATTCCATTTTAGAACGATACGTGTGTTAATAGAGCTTAACATATGCGTCTCAGAATTTTTCTAATTAATGCGAGGCCACGTAGCTTCGTCGCATTTGTCAAAAATTGAATTTTAAAACTTTAAATATGAATCTATTTCGCATTATATCGTCGAGCTTGATAATGGGTGATTCATAGATTGAATAGATACATTTATTATTATTCCAGTCCGATTTTCTGATTAGCATAACGTCTAATTTAAAATACAGAAAAACCAGAACCGAATAAAATAAAGCAAACGAAATTGCGGCGGAATGCAAAAAATATGCAATTTGGGTTAGCATCGCGCACGAGTTTGCAAAAAAATAGAACATTCGTACTGTACAGTTTTATCTGTACAATACATAAAGCTGTGTAAATTATATTAACTATGCTAATTAATCCTCAGTGCTAGACTTTTTCTCGCTGACATTGACGAGAGCCACGGACGGTAATTATAAAGCCACCTGGCGCGGAGAACCAGTCATGAGACCCGACTGAAGTAGTCGCATCCTCCGTTTGTTAAAGAATTTTACTCGTTTTATAGTCGTATAAAAATGTCGGTATTCCACGAATTGTTGCGTCAGTCTCTATTTAACTAAGTACGCGAACATCAGCTGCTTTTACTCTAATTTAACAAAGGATATTTGTAATTTACTAAATAACGAGCAGATTGCTGAATTTATTGTTTTAATTTTAAAACAGCCAACTGTTCTCGAATGAACTAAATATTTCTTTTGTAATGAAGTTTTTCGAAGAGTAATTAAGTATTACAAATAGATCATTTTTTTTTTGTTATACGTTTGAGTTGTTTATTTAAAGTTACGCACACGACTACATGATTGAAAATAAATTCTTATAGTCGAACTCAAAGTTTTAGTTGTATCAGTGATCTTAATAAAAGTTTTAAAACCGTCAGCAAATTTGTAAAGGTCAGAGCATCGAATACACAGACATCGACACAGTTATTATGAAATGCTCTGTGACTAAATAGCGACATTCAGTCGCTGATTTTAGTTGTAATTAAAATGTTCAATTAAAATTGCGTCTTGTACCTATCTATAAATAAAGTTGTATTTCGTGTTTATTAATAACTTTTGCATTTTATGACTCCAAGACTGAAATATTATTTATCATTTCGAATACAGTTAACCGTTGTAGTTTTTTTTTTAGTCAGTTAGTCTGAAAACAGATATTGTTTACCATAATATGGAAAACGTTTCTTTCGTTTTGGTCTGCAAACGTGTTATCCGCAACAGAAATCGACGCGAACTGGAGTACAATTTGATTATAGGTCCGAACCCGTTGCGTGTCACTGGGCTACGTTCCTTCCCCACTATTTTAACAAAATCTACTTTGTTACTACTGTACCAAGTAATAATGTAAACCACCTGACTCATACTCACTCACACCGGCATTTTCTATTATACAACAATACTTATTTTATAACGAAGCACGATAAGGATTATTACGTTAAATTTTTTACTCGTGTTGATTTGAATCGGTAGAAAACTAAGTATTATTATTACTAGTATTGGAATTTATAAAGAAATGACTCACATTGTGTTCGCACACGTGTATTGTGAACTTGTTAGGAATAACGTTTACTTTCTTATACTAACGTAGTACTTAACGTGATCCTTTTTATTCAAGGTACGTTACAAAGATTGAGTGTACAACATGGATAGATCATCTGTATTCCACAAGGAGTAAGCCTGTTTTTAACGATTTAAAAAAGTGTTTGTAACGCATTTTTTGAAATATCTTTCGAACATTCACTGTAATTTAAACGACGTGACGTTTATAAGTAGCTAGCAAAAAATTTTGTGACGCGTTTGAAGATTCTATAAATAATTTAAGAGCACTATCTACTAAATGCTTGTATTTTTTCTACTTGGTAACTTTTTGTGTGGTCGTAGTACTACCACGTGTATTGTTTGACCCCGTATTCAAGTACCAACGTATTGTACCGTTAATTTAGAAAATACTCAAACAGCATCCATCTTTACTAGTTATTATTCTACGCAAGTTTGACATTTTTCCAAACTTTCTGTGTTGTTTTTGTATGAAATGTTATTAAAATTCTTGTCATATATTCCATTTGTGTAGTTGATCACATACCGTGAAATATTCATGTTGTACACTTGTACGCGTTCACATTATGAATAGAGCATTTACGAAACTATTTTCATTCATAGACACTCGGATGTACTCTCAAACTAAATAACCAATATCAACTCTCATTTAAACGAACGTATAAAATTATATCATTCACATAAAACATTTTTTATTCGAACAAAGATATCTGGAATCATTCAATATTAATCGTTAAAGCGAATTGAGACCGGGCGACACAGCTAGGTCGTAGTTAGGTTACGTAGACAAGGGCGGCGACCTTGGGACCACCCCAGGCGCCCCGAAACCTCACCCCACCGCTTCGCCCTACAACCCTCGTGCACCCCCCGGGACGAGATGTGAGCTGACTTTTGAGAACCTACTCCTTTGACTGTTACCAAGTACCTATCATTTATACACGTATTGGTTCTAGAAGGATCGATCAGATTTCGGTTAGCTTACCAACTTTGTAACTCTGTACACACGGTAACTTTGTCACTGGTTTTTTTTTTTCACACTTCTTATTTACTTTTTTTTTATTGCAGGTGAGCGGAATTTCTCTATCAGTGGGGTGTGTGCCTGTTATTGACAATGTAAGTACTTAAATGCATAATATAATAGGTTTGTAGTATTTTTGAAACGTAAACAAACTACTATTGCACCAGTTTCGTTTTCCATTGCACTATAGTCTAAAATTGGTGACTAATGTTATCTGAGCAACACAAACAGAATTACATATTAGCTAAACATTCGCTGTTCAAAGAGAATGCACTAACATAGTGATTCATTTATTTGGATGGCTCGGATTACGTATTTTGTAGAACCAGCAGGTGTCTGTCTGTAGGTATTCACATCTTCTGTTTTTCTCTCGATACAAATAGTTTCTTGAGTAGAATAGAAAGAAGTGGTAAACAAAATCATGTCCATTAGTTGGAAAAGTTTGATATAAAAACTATATTCATGTGTTGGGGACGCTCTGAAAGTTGAAACGAGCATCGCCACCGCTCGTGTCATAATTTATCGATTTGTACTTAATATAGGTGTGAGTGGCGATAACCCCGGTTCGAGGAAATTCTTGGTGGTTTTGAATATTAGATATGTACAGATATTAAAGCAATAACTATCAAGGGTAAACTAATCTTCAAATATTTATTCAAGGAATTTAATTTCTTAACTTTCGTAAGCACTTAAGGTATTTTCTAGCAGTAAAAGTGAAAAAGGGTCGCATGGTAACTGTATTGTTGTTTCGTTGCAACTCCCAACAGCTGGTCCGATTGTTATATTTTTTGTGAGTAGTCGAATGGGTTCCCCGGCCCTCGGGTGATTTCAATTCACAATAGGGCACAATTGGTGACGCTGCATGCGGGCATTACCTGTCAGGTCCATTAAAATTAAAACGGTTGTTTTGTCTCTCATTTTGGTCTAAGTAATTCATTTTTGTCATCAAACCTCTCCTTAGTTGACACTCATTTTGGTCTTTTATAAGCAAATTCTACGGTCCTGTTAACACGCTCCATCCACGTAATTAATTCAACGACAATGGCAAGTCGCGCAAATTTTGCATGCAAGCGGAAACTTCGCATTTATCATTTTATACTTTTTTATTGTTTTGTAAGAACTGAAACCAAGTGTGTAAATTAAATGAAAGTAATAGTCACATTGCATCATTCATTACGAATCGTAATCCGAAGGGTTGATCCAATCGCTGTTTCGATGATTTTTTACCCTTTTTATCGATTTTTAATAACTACATATTACATTCCATTACAGTCGGGATTTATTTATTACTGAAATAATAGACTACAGCTTTTAAAACTTCTGTATAGATTTATACTTCAAAGGTTTTAATTAAGTCTATTGTTGGTTAATCTAACCACACAAGATCATCTGATAGCGTCTACATTTATAATGGTTCATCAGATATTATACTCACGAATATTAAATGTATTTGGTATTATTCTAGATTAATATCATATATTCACCTCCGAGATCTAATATAAAGGGGTTAAAGTTCATCTTGTATTGAAATCAAAGTTTTGTTTGTGTGCTTCGCATAGCATTTTAGTAAATTGATCTTGCTTTTATTTGTACACAGACACAGCAATCTTAATGCATCAGACATGTTGAATTTATTACAGACATGTTTTTCACCCAGCCAACAAACCTGTGACTAGCTTTGCAAAATATTTCTCACAGATGTGCATGTTCGTGTATTGTCTTATTAAAACAAATTCACACAGAAACACGAGTTTATAATAGAAAACAATGGGTAATTATAATTTTCGGTTAATTTTCACACAATCCTATTCAATCTGCTGCAATTTGTATGATTGCGTTGCATGAAGGTCCTAGTTCACTGCAGTAATTGTGTAATATCCCGCTAAGCCGCAGCCCGCGTTACATACAGCCGTCAGCCGCACACTGCGTACTAAGATCACGTTTCATTGCACTTTATTTAATCACTTATGATAACATCAAATTGCATTTTCTTTAAACCTCTCCTTAAATTTAAAAGATGTTCAGGTAACACAACTCCCTTATTTATGTCTTTTTGCTAAACGCTGCATCATCTCACAAGACCTAACTCTCTCATAGACTACACAGTACACACATTCTTGAAACATTGGAAGTCTTTAACTACCAGCTATTAATTTTCTTAGACGACGGTTTAGATATAAAAGTTCCCAGATTAATACAAGTTTCATGGCTAGTCCCGCACAGCTGGTAGTTGCATCTCTGTTCCGTCCGCTCGAACTTACTTTGAACTACATATATTTTAGTGCACACTCGGGCGAATTGCTCCCGGAAAGTTGACGCACCAACTTGAGCCCCACCCCAGCCACTCTAGTTTAGAACAGTTCTCATAACACAACGTATATCAAACAGTATGCATGTGTGCACATAAAACACAAGTTCGCGTTAACTCGTGTTCCGAAGTCGGGGTGTATTATGTAATCTTCCGCGCTTTCCCAACTCTCTAAGTTGGACCATCGAGTCGCTCACATTGTCGCGTGCGGTAATAACAGAAACTCCTTTAATGTCACTTGGAGTTGTCGCTAATGTCGCTCTAATTTGCGTTACACCCCCGCTTTTTGTGTTTCCATATTTCGCTGTGAGCTTTTTGTTTGCTATTCCCTCACATTAGTATTACGGTGAATCGTTTACCTCGCGCGCTGGTCGGAGGTGCCACGTGTCGCGTCGGTCCCTCAATATATTTTATCTCTACAGACCGTGTTTGTTTGTATCTAGTGCCGTTTTTGCAGAACATCCATTATTATGTAGTTGTTTGTACAGGACGCGCGGTTCGTATTATTATTAGTAACCGTAGGTATTATTGCTAAGAGGAAAACATCTCGAAATAGCGCAATTGTGCGACGTCGACTCGCTCACCGACGTTCGCCATTATTCACTTTTTGCACAGTGCTAGCGTTCGACAGACGGCTTGTTCTGTTGACGTTGACGTTTTTGTGCCTCTCTCGGTTTGATATAGCCAGACGCTTTGTCATTTTTGGGCGGCCACCGCGATTTCCGTGCTAGTTACAGCCCGCTGCCCAAACTATAAAAAAATGCAAGCCAATCAAAAACCAAATGCTCGTTTAAGTGTGGACTTCGTTAAAAATTGAAGCATGTTTTTCAGTATGTCATAAATTGGAATAGCCGATTACCCAGTCCGTATAAAGCAATAAACTATGTATTAGGCGTGGAGGTGCCTTGTTGTTCCGAGTGAGGTAGGTGGGATACGCGCGTCGCGACTCTCAATCACGTTGTTTCCTCACGTTACAGTTTAATGGTTTGCCTATTCATGTTGCGTACGAGATGACAGCCGCTCTCGGCGTCCTCAGACGACAGCCAATAGGGTAGACGACTAATTTTTATTTTAATGTCCGTCTGGTAGATTATTTAAAAACATTAGACACGTATTTTTTATTTTCTTACGGAAACGAATAGTTTCGAAGATATATTGATTTGAAATGTCGCGTGACGTCACTTCTCAGTACATTTTATACTAAGAAATGACGTTTTAGCTCCCACTCCTAAACTTTGATTCGTTTTATCTAAGTATTGTTTTATTATACAACAAAATAAAAAAATACGTGTCTAATATTTTTTTATTACCTAAGTTACGGACTAATTATATTTTTAATTTTCATACCCTGTCATCATCCCCATTTAGACAAGTCGTTCAATTTTCGCTTCTATAACAAGAACTAGTGAGAAGTTTCCGGTCGCTTGAGTTTGTAAATCGGTTGTTGCTGTTTTCTTGCGTAAGCATTGACATGAGTCACTTGCTTTGAGACAATTACTTACGTTGAAGTGGTGGGATTATCTGGTCGTTTTAACTGTTTATGATTTACTAATATACGTGGGTTGGCAAAACTAGTGACGATAGTGGTAATTGGAGCTAGGGCGTTCCCCAATTAGGGCGATTACAAATGACGCGGTCGCCGCCAAATTGAATTATATGCCCGTGAAACGCTATGTTCCCTCGACGTGTGACCTCATGGCATCGCTTAGGTATAACGGCGTGAGTTTAAGCGTTCCGCTTTATCACTACACATTGTTGCGCAATTCGCGCCATTAATAAATACACGTGTTATCTCAGTGTTCGAGAATGTTCATGCGTCCGCGTGGCATTGCGCCCGCGCCCGATAGTACTAGTGACTGCGGCGAACTGAGCTCGACACGTTTCATATATTGGCGGTAGAGGCTGACAGCAACGTGCACCGATCGTAAATTGCGTTTTCGCCAGCGTGAAAGGCGACCGCCGTTGCCAGCCGGCCGGTGCATTCACCGCTCACCGTATCGAATTTATCGCGAGATCGATACGCGCGCATACCCGCCAACGCGCTCTGTATCGGTATACACTTACCTGCGCCTAGCCGACGACGTCACCACACGTGGCGCGGCGGGGACGCGCCAGTGTGTGCGCGCCGCACGATTATATGGAATTCAGCGATTACGCCACCTACCTACGTACAGGCAGCGAGCGCGAGTGCGTCCGCTCAGCGGTAATAATAATAATTAGCCGCCTCATTATTGTTATTGGAGGCGACGCCGCGCGCCGTTCGCTGTCACCGACAGATAACCGCTGCGCGCGCCCAGATATCGCCGCGTTCGATTCTCGTGCCGTGCTCGTTACCATTGTTGTTATTGTCGCCGGACAAGAAGAAGTCCCCTTTGTGTTGTTCTGTGTGCCTACTACCTGGCTACCGGATTGTACCTAGTCACTGGATTGTTTGACTCGACACCACACCGGACCGTTCTATCGGGTACGTTTGCAGTGTAAACTTCACTTGTATCGTAAACAATGGACGCGATTTCTGTTAACCGTGTACACAAAGCCCGCTGCTTGGAGCGCTGTCTCCAGAGGGTTTGTGGGGCGAAGCGTTCACTGACCTTGTGATGCCGGTGACGCTACACGCTACACGCGACGCGACATACGTTTGTGTATTACACTCGCAGTAGGAGGTTATTGAAAGTAAACGGAACTCTAATAGCGTTGTAACTAGCCAATCATGTTCCCAAAACATGTTGATTGACAAGGAACCTGGCAACTTCTGTACAACTTTTCATTTGTACTGTTTTGTCAGCG